GGTGACTGAGGAGACAATGCAGACAAGCACTGCAGCCACATGGTAGCTGCCTGCGGAGAAGGGGGATTCTCTCTTCAGAACAGAAAGGACAATTTTCGCCTATGTGCTGGCAAGGGCCTGACATTATGACAGAGCTCCCCTGGGTGACCAAGAATCTGCGAACCAAAGGACCAGTCCAAAGGACTGATAGCAGATCCTGAAGTAATGAGCTCCTGTAGGTGCACACTCTGAATTTCCAGGTTGGCTTCCACTGGAGAGAATTACTACCCTACACTTTATAGAGAGGTTGTCTCATGTGCTTTCAACAGAATGTCTAATTTATTGTTGAGTACCATCACTCAGAAATCATTGGTAATATTCAGAATTATTAAGCAGGCACAAGAGGTGTCATTCACTGAGCATCGTCCAGTGCTCTGTACCACTTCTCTAAAACCTCTCCACAAAACTTACAGTGTGACCGTCACATGCTACTTTCATACATATGGAAATTGGGACTTGGGTCCACGCTCTTCCTGCCATTCAAACACCTTCCCTTGAGAGGGTCTTCTGGAGTCCACTCTGTTGCTGCAGCCTGAGTCTCCCAGCTCCTCTCTATGAGCATGGTCATCTGTCCATGCTGCCCTAATTGGGCCGCATGTGTACACTCTTACTCCTCTCAGGGATCCTTCTCCATCCTGCAGCCTGAACTGTCTTCAAAGGCACCATTTAGTCACCTTACACCACGTCCTGAACCTCACAGGGTACTCCCAGAGCCCCTGAGTAGACTGGGATCTGTGTCCTATTTAATTCTGGATTCAAAGCTCTGCAAAAAATTTGTGAAAAATGGGATTAGATGATCTATGTAGAGGCTGGTTATTGTGGCATAGTGAGCAAAGCAACCGCCTGAGAGGCCAGCATCTCACAGGGGCACCAGCTTGTGTTCTGGCTGCTCTACTTCTGATCCAGCTGCCTGTTAATGTCTGGAAAAGAAGGCTTAAGTAACTGCATCTGTGCACCCACACGGGAGTCGTGCAGAAGTCCCTAGCTTTGCTCTGGCTCATCACTGGCATTAGTGGCCACCTGAGGAGAGAACCAGCAGATAGAAGCTCTCTCTCCTCCAACTCTGACATTCAAATAATAATCTCTTTTTAAAAGACACATTTATTTTAGTGAATTCTGAAATCCATGTATAGCTTTTTTTCGAAAGGTTTACATTTAATGGAAAGGCAGATTTAGAGACAGGAAGAGACAGAAGCATCTTCCATCTGCTGGTTCACTCCCCAAGAGATTGCAATGGCCAGAACTGAGCCAATCTCATGAGATTGGGCATGTTCAGGTTGGTATAACCATAGACAACTGAGCCAATCTGAAGTCAGGAGCTTCTTCAGGTCTTCCATTGTGGGGTCACAAGGCTTTGGATCGTCATCCACTGGAACAACTGGGACATGAACTGGTGCCCATATGCAATCCCAGCACTTGCAAGGGGAGGATTTAGCAAATTCAGCCACAGGGCCAGGCCCATAGGTTTTTATGATATGCCCTTTCCCGGAACTTTATGAAGGTCTGTTATAAAATTTGCATCCTGGCCTCATGGGACTTGCTTGAATGAGGAGATGCTAGCAGTATTTTGCCATGCTGTGCCCTGTCTGCCCAGTACAGACAAATATTGGTACTAATGGGCGAAGAATCTGGCAGTGGAAGCTTTGCGACTGGACTGTGGGAACATGTGCTGCTTAGTTTTAGAAAAGCTGCCCTGAAGGCATCTGAGCCTTCTTTATCTATACAGAGTCACTCAAGTTGCCCCTGAAAAATCCATGTGCTCAGCCAACTTTGTGGCCTCTGTCCACACCAGCTCCCCTGCTCGGGCCTGCTTCCGAACCCCTGGTTAACCCTCAGGCACGTGTCTCAGGCCACCTTGAAACATCACTTTCTTCCTTAGCCTCAGCTGAGCTCTCACTGAGCCTGCCTCTGCCCCAAATGGGCTAGAACTTTCTAATAAAGCTTATGATGGTCACACAGGTATGGAATCACAGGGATGGAATCACACGTGTTGAAGGGCTCATGCCCCCATCCTGCTCCCAGGGATGAGCACAGGCGGCTCCCGAACTGAACAATAAAAACTTCAGAAAATGACTACTCACAGGGCTGCTTTCATCTTAACCCTGTCAGTGGCTTTGAAGCAGCATCAGTGGCACTCATGCGCTTTCTGGGAAGCACATCCACCTTCCTATTGCACTTTGAGGGGAAGCAAACCTCTCAGAAACCTGAAATTCAACTGTTCCCTTAAAGTGAGAACCTCCCCAGGATGTGCTGAGGAGCCTACCCACTCTCCAGGTTATGGGCCTGCTCCAGGGATTCTGGACTTCTGCACAGCTGGGGGAGCCAGTTCCCCCACACCTATGGCTCTCCCTCTCCTCTGGCACGTGTTCAGTCTTACACAGAGTGACTTTTTTCTACAGCTACACACACCCCATTTGCTGCTTCTCCAGAGAACCCAGAATCTTCCCTGTGTCTCAGACATGACATTTCCATTTGTGTCTTAGAAGCCAGGCCTTTTGATCAGCCTCTGCTCTTTGTCTCGGTTCCCAGCACTAGGCTTTCCATCTCCAACAAACCCAAAAACTCAGATACCATTCACCTCCGGAGAAGCATCTTTCCAACAGCAGGAGAAACAGAAACCCCACTTCCGGCTACTCCCTCTGTGGGGACAAAACTCGCACTTCGTGGACATGCATGTTTTACTTCACCTCCATGCTTTTCAGCTTTCCCAGCAGGAAAAAATAAGGAGGTCACACAAAGGCACTTGCTTATCAAACAACTGCTATTTCTTTTCCTGCCTTTTGAGGAAAATCAGAAAGCAAAGGGAACAGTTAAGAGAATTATAACCAAAGCTGGCAGTGCACTCTTCAAATTCAATGCAATTTTTATGTAAAGTGCAGGATATTAGTAAGAGACTTGACCAGCATTTAAAAAAAAATGGGTTGAATCTTATGATTCAATTTTGGTACACTGATTGAGGAAAATGATGCACCATTTAAGTTACCGAAAACAACATAACAACTGGGTCTTTAAATGAAGCAGTCCTTGGGCTAGAGGAGACTGTGCTTTGAGAAAATGTTTCCAATCACACCATTTTAGATTTGCAGGCAGGTTATTTTCTCCAGTGCTCTTAATTTGTCACCAGAGTACACAGTTAACAAGGACAATATACAGACCGCCGCAGGGCAGATCAGTATTAAAGGCTCGTTTTTTAAAATGCACAACACAGTGCCCTGCCTTTACTAAACAGTCAGGTGAGCTGACACGGGGATGCAGTCTCTCTCAACACCCAAGCCCTTCAGGTTCTTATTAGCTTCATAGAAACCTGCACAGCATTCAGACCTGTCAACACTTTCACTTGGGAATATTTTAATAACTTAGCTTTATCAAGCTTATTGGGCGAGAGGATTAGCAATGTCCTCCCGTTCCCCACTCCATGCAGTTCTGGGCACCCCTTTTGCAAACAGCGGCCCCTTGGGCCGTACACACGTGGGCTCCCTGGCCCTACGTTGCCGATTCAGCTGAGGACTTCCCCACCAGGGACTGTCGTTCGTGTCTTCCCACTCAGGAGATCTACCTCTTCAGAAACAGTGTTCCTCTGTGTAAAGGTGCACGGCAGAGAAAAGCAGGCTGCACAGTCGCAGAGGCGAAGCTGAACAGGGCGAGCCCAGCTGCCATGTACCAGGGCACGAGACACTCCAGCCATGGAGCTGCAGCATCTCACCCATCTCCAGCCCCTTGCCCTCACTGAGCAGGAGCAGCCAGCTCCTAAGGGCAGCCCGTATGTCCCCCTTTTTAATAGAATGTTTACCATACATCTACCACCTGCAGCTCCACGGCTAGTCAGTGACAGGACAGTGGCATTGGGACTCTTGTGGCCAGGACCCCAAAGGGTGTTTTTCAATGAATTGTGCTGCCAGGAAGCCACTCCTGCATCTGACCCACACCCCACCCTCGTTCTCAGCCATGGTGAAACGTTTAGCTGCTGCTCACCACAAACCAGGAAAGCACTCGGTTTTCAGTTCTAAGTGCTCTTCTGTTTAAGAATTTGTTCATGGGAACTGCCTCGTTCCTACAGAAATACTTCTACTCTGAAATACTGTAATTAGTCACTGTTGACACCAATTACATTACTGAATCATAAAGAGTAAGTTCAGACTCGCGTCAGGAACCACAGTTCTATTTTCATAAGGCACAGCAGTTCATTTTCCTTTTATAAAAGCAGATGTAAAAAATATCAATGGGTAAGGATTTTATCAGGGCAGTGGAAACATTCTAAAATTACATGATGGTGGTGGTACACACATTTTAAATTGTAAATTTCAAGTGGGTCAATTCTAATGTATGTGAATTATATTTTAATAGATATTTTAAAAAAATAAGAGATATGATTGGGTCCAGTGTGATGGCTCCATGGCTAAATCCTCTCTTGCAAACGTTGCTCACCTCAGATCGGCCCAGCTCCGCCCACTGCAGCCCTTTGGTGTGTGAACCAGCGGATGGCAGATCTTTCACTCTGCCTTTCCTTTTCTCTGTAAATCTGATCTGACTTTCCAATAAAAACAAAAATAAAATCTTAAAGAGATCTGATTGCCTATTTAACCACCTAAATAGAAAGAACTAAAGGAAAAACTATCAATTTTTAACATTTCATTTCTTCTATATTACCCCAAATGTCTGTTAATCATCTCTCACTGACATATCAAATTAACTGAAGAGCAAACTTCACACAACCCTTACAAACATGTAATCCTTACAAATAAATTCAGGTGATGGTCCCACACTCTACAGAGGGATTAGCCATGGGCCTACTTTAAATACAGTGTGCACATGTGCACTCATGCGTACACACACTCACACACACACTAAATGAATGACAATCAATGCACAAATAATTCTTGGGTAACCCAATCAATATTCAGAGCAGGGATTACAAACACATTTTGAAAATCTCTCCCCTGAGGAGCATGAGGACTGTCTACCTTGTGACAAGGAACCACGCGATTCTGCAGAAGTCTGGAGAGGGCCTCATGTAGGTCTTAATATGCGGCATGGCGTTGCTGCGGCCAGACGTCTCGGCGGACCATTTGCTAGCGACAGGACAGGGGAGGTCATTAGTGAGACAAGTCAGCCCTGATCCCAATTTGGACACTACATGATCGGACAGATGGTGAGTACCCAGCTCTGTGACCTGACAGGTTAGTAAACTCTGTTCAGACAATGGGACAAACGCACATGCATTTTAGAGTGCAAGCGTGAAGAAAACTGACCACTACCCACACATAATCCACAACACCCTTACAGCATACAGCCTTCCTCTTTTTTGTCACACACACATGTGCATGTATGTTATTTCTGTTGGGCTTTACCCCCTAGCTGGACCGTGAGTTCCTAAAAGGCTGGGATTGTGTCCTAATGGTGCACTGCTGAGCAGAGTCTAGGCCAAAATGCAAGCCAGGCAAATAGAAACAGTGGGTCAGGAACCAATTTTGAAATGCAAGGGGAAAAATCTAGCAACGTTTCTACCAAATGCTGACAACTGTTGTATATAAGTTTTGGTTCCAAGTTTCCAACATTGTGGAACTAAGGTTCCATAGGAATGAATGGCCTGTAGCACATGGCAATGATTCTTTCTTAGGACCCTTCACAATGTAAGAGCAGGGCCATGGCCAAATTGAGTGAACTTAGCAACCAGGCACAGAAAGGAACTCAACACAGAGAAATATTATCAAGAAGCATCAGAGGTGCCAGAATGACCCACTGAATTATGGCTGCCTGCTCCAGGAATGCGATCCTGCTTTAATGGCTGGTGAAGCAGAGTGATGAACACCTGTGGAAGCAGCCATGGAGCTGAGCCTGGCCTAGACCATTTAGGATGCCCAGTGCTGTCGCTGCGGGCAGAAGTGGGATATTCCTTTCACTAATCCAGCTCACCAACCACTCCCTAAACGCATGCCAATGTGGGCTACTGTCCTGGGCCACCAGCTGAGTGGCCTCTGCCCCAGGCAAGCTGGAGGCACCGGTCACACGGTGCCACAGACACAAGCATTCTGCTTGATGTTTCAGAAAAAATGAGCTAAAATTCTGCTTCTGTAAATGATAAAGCACCCAGCGTGATCTTTTATTTATCTTTTCTCTGAATGCCAATGTTTAAATAGAAACCTTACCAAGATAAATTTAACTCCCTGGTATTAAAAACCTATTCCAAGAACATTTCAAAACCTTGTTTTAAATTATTTCTATCACTAGCATATGCAGACCAAAGAATATAGCTATATTACATAAAGTTCTTAAAAAAAAACTCTACCAGACGGACATAAATAACATTCGCGTTACTAAAGCAGCAACAGCAGCACGCTGAACCAATTACTTACTGAAAATAGGAATGCAGCCAGTTCTGTTTCTCTGCTGTCTGGATGCTATAGGGAAGAGAGCCCCCAGCTTTAAAAAGAAAAACAAAACAAAACAATAAACAATGAGGAAATGTAATTCGAAACTTTCTCACCTGGAAGAGAATCTGTAATAAACAACATGCTAGAAGAGAAAACAAACAAGACACCACTGCCATTATTTCATCTTACGGAACAGTTTTCTGGAAAAAAAGGTCTATACTTGCATTTGGTGTGTACTTTCAATGGAGTCTCTTTTCTCAGGGGTGATAAACATTTAACAGATGTTTCCTATTCAATAATAATAATAAAGTAAAACTTGATCACGTGGCAGCGGTAATTTAACAGCTGCATACACTGGAAATATCGGAAGAGATCCTGGGGATGTGGGGAGGGGGTTGTGGCTCACAATAACCCCCAGAGGCACAAGGAGGATCCCAGCAGGGGGCCTGTGTCCGCCAGGACCACGACCCTTGTCGGGACAGCTCAGGATGCCGGCTCAGTTGTCTGCTTCACCTGCACACACTCTTGTACCCAACAGGCTCTCACTTAATGGAACAGATTCTTAGAGAATAAAAAGATTGGAAACTAAATAGAAATGTTCAGTGAATAGTTCAGTTTCAGAAAAAGGAATTCTAAAAGCCTTGTTCTTGCAAAGAGAATAAAGACACAAGTGGAAACACAAATTAGAAGCCAATTTCTGTTCATCTTTAAAAGAAAGAAAATCCCCATTGTAGATTCATCAGTGATTTTCCAGACGTGTTCTGGAACGTCTCCACAGTAATCTACACCCAGAGGGGGCTTTCACCAACTCCAGTATATCAAATGAAGCATGTCCTATCTCCTCCCACAAAAGACTATAAACATTCTCAGTTTTAGAACCGGTTATAAAATAGCTTTATTGGAAAATGCCATGAGTTTCCCTTTTAAGAGTACACTTGAATGGATCTAGCCTATTAGAGGTACAGGAAGAAGATAAAAGTGCCAGCGTCTGAGTTAGATTTATTAAAAGGCAGCAGATGAGCTAATATATTCAAACACGACTGAGATTTTTCTGGCAGGGCCACGTGGAGTTTGGTAAGTAGTAAGTGAACTAAATCAGTCTAAGGCCATTTGGCTTTCGGGCGACGTCAGCTCACACTGCTCTCTCCAGGGGTACATAACCATTGGGCTTTTAGTTAATTCATCCTGACCGCACAATCTAGGTGCTGCTGAAGTCCAGACACAAGTTTAGTGCTTAGTACTGCCACGAAGGAAATGGAGGGCAGGGTTGACAATGCCTGTAAAACCCCAGTATCTGCAGATGATGGCCTGGACGCAGGGGATCCATGGACTAGCTGGACCAAAGGAAATACTATGCGTAAGTTCTGGAACTTAAATGGATGGGGGTACTTTGGGATGTTCATGGTAAAATGGAATTAAAAGGTCAATTAGGGGCCTGGCACAGTGGCCTGGTACTTAAGGTCTTCGCCTTGCATGTGCCGGGATCCCACATGGCGCTGATTTGTGTCTCCGTGACAACACGTCCCATCCGGCTCCCTGCTTCTGGTCTAGGAAGGCAGTTGAGGACGGCCCAAAGCCTTGAGGCCCTGTACCCATGTGGGAGACCCATAGCAGGCTCGTGGCTCTGAATTGGCTCAGGTATGGCCATTGCAGCCACTTGGGAAGTGAATCATCAGACGGATCTTCCTCTCTGTAGATCTGGTTTTCCAATAAAAATAAAAATAAGTTTTTTTTTTTTTTAAAGAAAAGGTCAATATAGGGGCTGGCATTATGGGTTAAGCCCATGCCCGTGAATTGCCAGCATCCCATGAGTGCTGGTTCAAGTCCTGGCTGCCTCATTTTCGATCCAGCTCTCTGTTAGTGCACCTGGGAAAGCAGTGGAAGATGGAATAGGTAGGCAGACCCAGTGCTACTCAGCTGGAGTCCTAGGCTGCTGTGGCCATTGGGGAGTGAACGCAGGAATAGAAAATCTGTTTCTCTCTTTCTCTCACATTCTTTCAAATAAATAAATAAATCTTTTTTTTAAAGGTAAGTAATTTTCCACTTCATATATTGGGTATCAGGAATTTAAATGTGAAAGAACCTCATGGTATCTCAGACTCAGGCAGGGAGGATGTCGGCAGAGATGAGACGAAGGTAAGTTAGAGATGCTCTGAAGAGGTGTGGAACAGCAGGGAGAATCAATGGTATCTGGATGTCTGGTCTGGACAACCAGGCTGCTGCTTACCTGATTAGTGACAGTAAGAGAACTGTGCACAGGGTGAGGTGCTGTGAGGATTATATAACAGCCTCAGACTGCCTGTCCGAAACACAGCACAGCTCACAGCATCAGAGGACCTTCTGCAAATTTCTAATCAATACCAGTAAAAAATCTGCCAGGGCATTTATGGCACACACACACAGAGCACCAATGAGACAGTCTCCCTGACAATTACCAGGGTATCCTTCTAAGCTGGTCCGCACGTTTTCCACAGATGGATAAATCTAAAAAAAAAAAGAGGGGGGGGGAGTAAAGTTGGAATGTATCAAACTGAAGGAACGACAACAGCTTTTAAGAAACTCTTGGTCAAGGATGCTTGTGTTGGGTTGGCCATGTGGCCAACGGCCAGCACGCAGTGCATGTGCAGTGGCTATACCTGTGTCCCATAGTAGGGCTGGTGCTCCCTGCCTGGCCCTGGTTCCCGGTTCACTTCATGCTAAGAGCACCCTCAGAGGGAGCAGGGGAGACTCGATGTGGGGGACCTGGGATGTACTCCTGGTTCTTAACTCAGGCTCCAAGCCACTGTAGACTGAGCCTTTGCCTGGTTCTTGAGTAAATAATAACAATTTTAAAACATTTGATACCTGGTTTAGAAACTTGGAAAATAAGCCTTGGGTTCAGCACTGTTGTATAGTAGACTAAGCTTCCACCTGCCATGCTGGAATCCCAAAGGGATGCCAATTCATGTCCTGGCTGCCTCACTTCTGATCCAGCTCCCAGCATATGGCCTGGGAAGGCACTGAAGATGGTTCTAGTTCTTGGGCTGCTGAACCTGCATGGAGGACCTGGAATAAGCTCCTGTCTTCTGGCTATGGACTGGCTCACACTCTGGCCATGGAGAGGGAACCAGTGATGGAAGACATGTCTCTCTGTCCTTCGTCCTGTCTGTAAAATTGGCCTTTCAAATAAAAATAAACAAATCTTAAAAAAAAGTGACAGGTTGAACTAAATTTGGAATAAACAAATAAATGAATCTAAAAAAAAAAATAATAACCCAGCCTTAAATTTCTAAACATTCCCATCTTACTGAAGAAAGTTAACTTCTAATAATTAAACTACAGGAAGGTGCCAGTGCAGGCACCTGCCCAGGTTGTATTATACCTAGGCAAGTGTTACACCACTGGCAGGAAAGCAGCCAATAGTTGGTGGACAATATGGGCCTGGTTAATGCCAAATTTGTATTAACTATATCAGTGTGCCAGAAGAGTTGCCTACTCTTTTTTTTCTTAAAGGTATTTGAAGGGAAGATGCCAGCACACCAGCAAAATGGTCTAGGTACCCATACCCGAGGTGCGTGGGGCCAGGGTTGTGGGCAGGACCCCAGAGTGGCACAATACACCACCGGATCTGCATGCTTGCGGGCACTGGGGGCTGAAGATTGCTCAGGGAAGGGGTCTGGGATATGTGGAAGGAAGGACCGCTGAGGCAGAATGTGACGGAGTGACTCCTGGGGGACTTCCACCAACTAGGCCATACACTTTGTAAATGACGGGGCTGAGAGTTTGCAGGAGGGAAACCAGAGTGACTTTCAGGACCAGACCAACACACCCACCCAGGTGGCAGTCCTGAGCTGGGCTTGTTGGTATCAACTACATTCCCTCAGGGCACATGGAAGATAAGGCTAGGGGTTCTGCCTGGCAGGGCTCAACCACAGTATCTGCCAGTGTGTCTCAGGACGAGGGTAGACCATATCAGGCTGGGCCATGACACTAGCCAGTATGTGAGAGAGCCAAGACTGGGAACAGATTCTGTAAGGTATTTGTGGGCTCACTCCTGTGGGACTATCATACTAGTTGGTTTGCTTGAGGGCTGGGAGTGATGATGGGTTGAGCTAGGCATGACCATGGAACACTAACACTCATGGGTACTGGGGTTGGAAACAGGCTGGGTAGGTCCAGGCTGTAGCACTTGCAGGTGCACCCAAAAATTGGGTATGGGATGGACTGGGCTGCAACATCCACCAGTACACCAAAAGGCTGACACTGGGGGGCAGACTGTGCCAGGTAAGGGCCTAGCATCTGCAGGCATGCATGAGATCTGAGTCTGGTAGTTCCCTGGTGGGGGAACTTGGGGAACTCCCCTGGTGTGCTATAGCTCCCACTGGTGAGCATGTGAGTTAGCTGGGTATTAGTCAGGCTGGGCAGGACTTCTTTACTTGTTGGCAGGTGTGTAGGTTGGCTCTGTGGGGGCACACCGGGCAGGGCTAGGCCAAAATGTAGCAACTGGCATGCACAGGAACCAGGATGGAAGTGTAGGCCATGCTGGGCTAGGCTAGGCTATCACACTTGCCAGTTTGTATGAGCCAAGGATGGGGCAGGCTGGGCAGGGAGGGCTAGCCTGCAGCAATCACTAGTGAAAGTTGGGACTGGGGGTGGGCCAGGCCAGGTCAGGCTGCAGCATCCATGGTAAAGGCCAAATGGGAGATGGGTCATGCTGGTGAAGAAAACCATCCGCATGCCCAAGATCTGTGGCTGAGAGCAAGCTTGGCTAGGCAGCTAAGCAGATGCCCTGGCTGGGCTGTGAATCACACTAGTGAGTGCCAGAGCCAGAATGGGGGAAGCGAACTGGGCTGGTCATGGTTGAAGCATCCTTGGCATGAATGTGGACTAGCTCTGCAGTGTGCTGGGTTAGGCTAGGCTCCAGCACCCACTGGTGCTCACAAGAACCAGATAGGTTGGGATAGGTTGGACTAGGTCTTGGCACCCACTGAACCACATGAGAGCTGGGACTGGGTATGGGCTGCCTGGGCAAGGCCATTGTATCTTCCAGAACAGGAGGTGGGCCAAATCAGTAGTTCCATCCACTTTCCCTCATTCTTTGACCCTCTCCAGCCTAACTGGTGGTCCACATGGGCATGCATTCTTCTTAACTATGTAAATATCATCAAAAATAAAGTTTTTTTTATCAGGAAAAAAATTACCAGAAGCATAAATGTATTGTGCTTTGGTAAAATTTTTTTCTTCTGAAAGGTCAAATTTGCACTGAATTAAATACAAAATTATTAATTGACAGGCATTTTAAATAATTAATAGTGCTTACAAGTCTACTGGCCATGTTATATCAAATTTTTTCCCTTGGTTTGACAACCCAAGGAAAAGAATGAGAAAATCATAGGCTGGTGTGTGGCTCTGGGTTGGGAAGCTGATGGGGACTCCCACACAAACAACTGGTGCTCAGTGTGGCATCACAGGATGGCCAGGGGGATTCTGACGCCCCGCTCTTCCCACCCACACAGCACAGCCAGCTCCTCTCCACCACAAGCTGCCCTGAGGCTCAGAGCCTCTGCAACAGCAGTGAACTAGCTGGAAGAGCAACAGAACTCACCAGGTGCAGAGGAGCGGCACTGGTTCCTGCGGGTTGTCCGGGCGAGCCCAGGCCCAGCAAGCTCTCCTTAAACTCGGAACAGAGCCACTTGGACTCGTCGGCCCCCAGGGAGCCGATGCTGGAAAACTGGCCCACCACAGGCCAGGACTCAGCCTGGGGGATGGATGAGGTGTGTTCTTTCAGGAGCTGTGGCAGAAAAAAGATCAATGTCACAATTACCCAGAGAATGCAACAAAAACACGGCTACCTAAACAGATTCGTGCCCTCGGAACGCCTACTCAACAAGGAAACAGGGAAAGTATCAGTAATCAACCTCACACTCACATGTACATTTTCTTCTTTGGAAGATATCTCTGAAATACAGTGGAGGGAGCAGTTTGCCTTTCCAAAATTCTTTGATTTGCATTAAGAGCAAAAACAGGTGAATTTCCTGAAAGGTTCATTTTAGTAAAACTCTCAGATAAACAACTGACCTGTGATATCAAGTTGGACTTCCCCCGGAAATCATAATTGCTTAATAAAACCCAGTCAATTCCTAGAAGGTTAAAAACCACCACATCCTTTGTCTCCTATTTCTTGAAAGAAGCTTGACACCCCCGGTTAACATTCCAGTTCCAAATGCCTGTAATGAGCTAACAGAAGGGAACCAATTCACTTTTAGATCCAGACACCCCAGGGGAGTTCATCATCTGATGGCTGTTTTATTAAATGTGCATTATTTTCACCAACACAGTCCAGGCATGAACATTTACACACATGTTTACTGCAGAGCCCAAGGTGTTCAACCTCTGCCTGCGGGCACCATGGTGCAGGAGGCAGAACTCAGCAGCCCATTTCCATGGAACACGAGCAGGACTCCGAGGTAAGCCCTGCACAGTAATGTGTGTCTGGGAAAGAGGCGCCGAGCATCCACCCACCTTCCTTAGCAGGCAGCTGGATGCATCATCACCTACTGGGTGGGAAGGCTGCTCTGAAAACTCTAAGATGCTGTTTAGCTTTCACTGAGACTGCAATGGCGCAGAGTCCACGCAGATGCTACTGCCAAGCCTAGCCATCAGTCCACAAATAACCGCCATGCTGACAGACCATCTACCACGTGCTTACTTCCATTGTTTCATTTAATCCTTACACAGTCCTGGAGGGGAGTCCCATTATCACGCTCATTTTAATAACTTTAATGATATCTGAAAGGCAAAGAGACAAGAAAGCAACTGCCTCAAATGCCTGCAACAGCCATGGCTGAGCCAGGAGCCTGGGACACAGTCTGGATCTGTCACAGCATGTCATGACCCACTGCCTCTCCGGCATGCATTGGCTGGTGCGTGATTGTGAGAACAAAGTGTGGATTTCAGAACTTCAGGAACCCAAATAATTCTTTCCTGAAAGTATTCTCTCATAACTTTGGATTGTGTGGCATATAAAAGATTCTTAACATACAGGTAATTTATAATTATAAATAAGATAGAAAAATACATTTTAAATAATATTAAAATAATTAAAGTTCTATTACCTTCCTAAGCCTGAAATGTCCCCAGTTATCTTTCTGACTTCCTTGAAAGCGTCCTGGGGTTGAACCAATAAGGTAAACGCTAAAAGAGAATATAAAATGTAAGTTACAGAACATACTGATGCATTTGATCACCTGAAACAAACTACACACACCAACTGTTATGACCATGAACTGTTCTGGGGCACCTCGTGACGCCTCCCTAAGAGCAGTGTCTGACACTCGCTCCACTTTCAGGCAGACTGGCCCTACACAGGGCAAGCGACTGAGCAAAGCTCCCAGCTCAGGAGGGCTTCAGTGGGTGGCTTATGGGAAGCAGCGAGAGCCCCACTGGCTGATGAGATGGCAGATGCCCAGAACCTGTGCTCCACCCCACCCCCAGCGCCACCACACCGCCCCGGGGGCCCCACGTCCCAGCTGTCCCAGGCCTGGAAGCAGAAACTCCGTCCCGAGCAGTCCTGACCAGGGGGCTCTGACACGCACTTGGTTTCAGACAGGTCGTGCTCACGGATGCTGTCTATCCACTCCTGCAGGGGAGGAGCGTTGTAAGCCTTCAAGTAGCTGATGAGGTCCGCTTTGAAATGTGTCGGTGATTCTCCCAGGCCGTGGGTTCCAGGGACAAGCCGTGGGTACAAGGGGCTCAACCACATCCTGGAATGCAAACGACACCACCACCATAGCTTTAACAACTGGTCACAAGGATGGTTCTGTATTGACTATACATCCACCATAAGAAACAGGTGAATTTTCCCTGTGTATCTTCACATGGGAAGTCAAGCAAGTCTTAGGAAAAACAAAGCAATCTGGGACAGATGTAGGTTAAGCTGCTGCTTGGAAACCGGCACCCCATTTTCCAGTGTCTGGAGTCAAGTCCCATCTCTATCGTTTTTCTTTCTTTTTGTTGGAAAGGCGGATATACAGAGAGGATGATCTTTCCAATGATTCACTCCCCAAGTGGCCACAGTGTCTGAAACTGACCAGTCCAAAGCCAGGAGCCAGGAGCTTCTTCTGGCTCGCCCTTGAGGGTGCAGGATCCCAAAGCTTTGGGCCATTCGTGACTACTTTTCCAGGCCACAGGCAGGAAGCTGGATGGGAAGCAGGGCTGCCAGGATTAGAACTGGTGTCCATATGGGATCCTGGCACATTCAAGGTGAGGACTTTAACTGCTAGGCTATTGCATGGGTCCTTTTTTTTTTTTTAAGATTTATTTATTTTTATTGGAAAGTCAAATATACAGAGAGGAAGAAAGAGAGAGAGAGGAAGATCTTCACCCACTGAGCCAATCCAAAGTCAGGAGGCAGAAGTGCCCTTGGTTGCCCACATGGGCGCAAAGTCCCAGATCCTTGGGCCATCCTTGACTGCTTTCCCAGGCTGCAAGCAGGAAGCCAGAAAGAAGTGCAGCAGCCAGGACATGAACAGGGGATCCTGGCGCGTTCACAGCAAGGACTTTAGCCACTAGGCCACAGTGCTGGGCACATAGCCTCTACTTTTGACCCAGGTTTCTGCTAACGTGTATGGGAGGCAACAAAAGATGACATAAGGACTTGAGTTCCTGCTGCCCATTTGAGAGACCCCAATGGTCCAGGCTCTGCTTAGGTCTGCCCTGGCATCTGGAAGAGGGAACTGGTCCATGGAAGATCTGTCTCTCCCCTCATTCTTCCAAATAAATATTTAAATCTCTTTTAAATTTTTTTTGATCATACTACTCCTATGTTGGTGGGCTCACTTCCTCGCCTTGAACCTTTTTAAGACCCAGTAGGACCTGGCCTCTGTCTGCTTTTCCAACTCTCACCCCTCGCCTCACTCCTTCCCCAACCTTCCCTTACTCTGCTCACCCCCACACCTCCAGGTGGCTGAGCCGTGACAAAAGCAGATTCTACTCCCGATCCACCCCATGTGTCGGAAGCCCAGAGAGTTTACTCAAGTCTGTCTTATAGCTCTTGAACCAAATGAGAAATTAGAATCAAAAGTTCCCCATACTAAGAAGAATGCACGAGTCTTTTCAATAGACCAACTCCTTTTCTTAAAGCATGCTTCCAATCACCTTGAGTTGGTTTCTTCCCCTAGACTTTCTGCTTTCTGAGTGAATATACACTGCATTTAATGAAACGATATTAAACTAATCTCAGATGTTCAAATGCTTAATTCAGTAGGGCAGTATTACAGACATCTTTCATTTCTGAATTATTTTTCCTCAAAGGAAAACAAGGCATGTAGCCAAAACATTTCCATTATACACACAGATGGAAAACCACTGCATGGAAGATTTCACAAAAGGGTGGCCTCAAGGCTTGGGTGCTTCAGGTTCCTCAACTGTAAATCAGGCCGACAGCCGTGCCTTCCAGGGCTGCTGTAGGTATGCATGCGAGGCATGGCAGAGCGTGCAACTAGCACGTGCACTAAGTACCTGCTGCTACTGCTTTCCTTGCTCCTGTGACTTTCACCGCAGTTCTAACCACCACCCCAAAACAGAAACTGCCCAATTCCCCTTGCACCTGTAGGCTTGAAACAGACCAGCGAGAGGGTGACCGCTAGGCAAGGAAGCATCAGACAAACAGGACTGCTGGCTGTGCAGCCTTAAAATGCTCAATGCTCCCAACAGTGGCACTGTCTGCTCTCTCTTCCCAACTTGGAGACCCTTAGCACAAGAGATCACGTGATATGGGTAGGGCTGAAGGCCTACACCTTCCTCTGGCTAGCTGGGCCATTGGGGCAGGCTCAGTGATTTCTCCAGAGCTTTGCTTCTTTGGTTCTGGGAGTGTAACATGACCAGGGTGAAGCTTGTCATGACTGAGAGTAACAGCTAAGCTCAAATCTGAGCAAATTCCCAACAACCCTTTTAAAGAAGCAAACACCTAATAAAATAGTAGAGAAAACAAAATAACAAAACAACAAAAAAACAGAAGCAAAGGCCTGGGGCTGGCATGGTGGTACAGCATGCTAATCCTCTGCCCTGTGGTACCAACATCCCATATGGTTGCTGGTTTATGTTGTGACTGCTCCACTTCCCATCCAGCTCTCTGCTAATGGCCTGAGAAACCAGCAGAGGCTAGCCTAGGGCCCTGGGAACATATGCCCATATGGGAGACCCGGAAGAAGCTCTTAGCTCCCAGCTTTAGATCAGCTTGTTTCTTGTCATTGCAGCCGTTTGGGGAGTGAACCAGTGGACTGAAGACCTTCTCTGTATTACCACTCTGTGAAAATCTGCCTTACACATAAAAAATAAATATTAAAACAAAACAAAGCAAATACCTGTATAAGAAGGAGTCAAGTGGCATTTCTGGCCCAGTGGTTGACTCCTACATGCCAAGCCAGAACCACTGAATTCAGTGTGGCCCAGCTTCCAAGTGCAGCTTCCTGCCAGAGCAGAGACCCCGGGAGGCAGTGCTGATGGCTCAAGCGACTGGATCCCTGCCAACCTGTGAGTTCCTGTCTCCCCACTTCAGCTCAGCTCAACTGTGGGTATCTGAGGCTTCAATCAGCAGGTAGGAGTTCTGCCTCTTTCTCTCTTTGCTTCTCAAATACATTTCAAAAGAATAAAAAACTAGATCTGGTATATGTGTACTAAAGGCAAAGCATTATTAACTAAAAAAAAAACTTGGAAAAACTTTCTCTTTCAAATCCTAGAGATTAACAGTCATACTAATATATTAAATGTTCTAAAAAGAAACAAACAGTGGTTTAGATTTGTTTCATGGGGAAACAAACTGGGGAAGTGAGAACGTTTTTACCATGTCATTCACTTCACCCTGCACTACCTCTGCTTGGGAAGTGGCTTGCAGGAGTCCAGGTAAAAACAAGAGCACGCAGAAACCAAGAGAGCCATCAGCAAGTCCTCCTGGACTGCGGGGCTCAGGCCTGCAATTGTGCAGGCCCATTCCGGCCCCAGACCCTTTGCACATCCTGTCCCTCTGCTTTGTTGTATGATCCCGTTTCTGTAAAATCCAGGGTTGGGCGGGGGAACTCACCCTATGTATATAATATTAGAGACCTTCAAAAGGCTTATAGAAAATGCTTATTATAAAAACTACATGATCTCATGACTTTTTATTTTATTTACTTTTTTTTTTTTTGCAACAAAATAAACTTATCTTGCAATCCTACTTTTCCGGGAACTTTTAAAAGCATATTTGTATTCATGTTTTATGTTTTCAACAGAGACAGTTGCATACGATTATGCACCACACTGATACTCTGGGTACATCAAGACGGTGGGATGGGGGCGGAGGGTAGTGCAAGAATACCATCTTTGCACTTGTCTCTGCTACGCCCTATGTGGGTTATTTTTATAACTAAAACTAAACAAATAAAAAGAATAAAAGAAATGCTCTGCGTTTGGACTTCCTCAGGTTCCCCAGTGACCACCGCGAGGCTGGTGCCAGGCTCCTACGCACCCCTGAGTTTTCTGGTGCCAGTCCTCGTGGATGAGGTTGGCTGTGTGGATGACAACCCGGAGGCCCTCCTCGTAGCGCAGCAGCATCATTTTCCTACAGAACCAGGAAAGGGACCAAAAGCATTAACACTACTTTAAAAGCATGCAACACCTGTCTCCTAAAAATGTCACAAACAGCTACTTCTGCATCACACAAACTTACAACACTTGTAATTTCCGTATTTGAGTCTGCTTCAGCAGAAGGTGGATAGAGCTGTAGGCGGAAGGGTGCCCCAGCCGGCGGACGAGGCCAGCCTAGCCCCCGAGTGTTCACACAGCATCACCTGCTTCCACCCTAGAGAATGTGAGTCTTCTTGTCTAGTGTTTTCAAGGTTTGGTCACATCCTCTTGCTGCGTCACGGCAAGCATTCTTTAAGCATGTGAAACAGTGCGAGCACGCTGCTGGGGGTGAGTCCCTGAAATTGCTGTCGGCCCAGGGATGCACGTGTGGTTGAGGTGGCCACTCTAAACAACTTGAGATGCTTCATTCCTGTTGAGCTGACTTTCTTCTGTGTTGCCCTGTCACCTGTGTTTATCTGCATTTCAGGTAGAGTCCTCCTCTGTCCTCATTTCTCATCAGTCTTGGCTGAGTTCCTCTCTTCTTCCACAGGCTTCCAGAGGCCTCCAGTCACTGAGTATTGCTCCTATTTTATTTCCAGCAAGAAGGACTGGGCTAGGCGAGCACATGGGGGCTTTTCACCCGGGGTCAGGAGTCCTGTGCCCCAGCCTCTGACACTTAGAGGCCCGGGGCTTCTGAGGAAGCCTCAGTGTCAACCTTTTCCACACTTGCAATGTGGAAGGATCAACTGACCTGGGCACTGCTGGGAATGGATACTATGAACGATGTACAAGGCGTATTTTGTTGAATGGAACCCGTGCCCAGGTCCACCTTGTCATAACTCCTTCAGTGCCTTGCTGTGCTGTGTGATCTATACCGGGTGGCCTGTACCTCCCTGCTATCTCCTCGTTATTCAAACTCTTCCATTACACAGACCTGCAGCCCTCACGCTCCTCTCTCCTGTGTGGAGAGGCATGTCAGGCCTCTCTGCAGCTGCGGTGTCATTTCTCAAGGCTGGAGCTCTGTCTTGACTCATTGTTCTCATTTTCACTGAGGCCAACTGCTACTTAATGGTGTGACTCGGCTCACAGGTGGAAAAGCACAAAGCACTTGAATACTATTCCGGCAGGATGAGGTCAGCAGAAAAAGATAAGGGGAAGAACACAACGTCCAAAAGGGCAGCAAGATGTTCAGCTCGTGCCGGGAGACTAACCCCAGCCGGCAAACAGTAAACTAGTGCCAAGCTGGAGAATGGCAGCTGGGAGCCAGTGCCTTCCCCTTGTGAAACATGCCCTCTGTAATCTGGGAAAATTTACACACACATTTGCCAAATTAACAGCTGATTGGGATTAAGAATAAGCCAGCTATGGCTCATGATATGTGTTTTACAAACATCACTTTAATCAAGGCATCAATTGTCAGGAGAATCAAACACTAACGTCAATGAATTCAGACAGCATTAGGGACACACCGCAGTGGTGCCACATGAATCTTTCCCTAACAACACGGTATGTGTTCGTTAAGATCGCAGGTTCCCCCAAGGATGGACAAGGGTGAGTGGTACAGGCTTTCTGAACACCGACTCGCTCCACGATCTGGTAAGCTCTGCACCACAGGGACACTTTCCAGATGTGAAGCTGGCTCGGCAGGGGAGGAGGAGTCCCTCATGTCACAGCTGCAGTCGGTGGCCACGACAGCTAACGAGGGTTTCCCAGGTCACAAAGTGAGCCAGTGGGCATGCATGCTGGGGTCACAAGTGCCATCACTCACTGGCTTCCATGGGGTTGGTGGTGGAGACCCACGCTGCAGGGACAGGAGTGGAGAGGTGGGGGACTCAGGTGAGAGTGGTGAAAGCCTGGCTACAGAGCTGAGTGATGAGAGGCGTGGCCATTCAACCTGCCACCTGTTTCTGGTTGCAGCTTAGGTGGCAGTGGCACCCTAGCTGGAGAGAGGCCTGACATGCCTCTCCACACAGAAGGGAGGCTTGCGAGTGCTGCAGGTCTGTGTAATGGAAGAGTTTGAATAATGAGGAGAAGGCAGGGAGGTACAGGCCACCCGGTAAAGATCACACAGCACAGCAAGGCACTGAAGGAGTTATGACAAGGTGGACCTGAGCGTCATTTCCCTTCGGCAGCCAGAATCTTGGTGCTCCGAGTACACTGTTAGCGAACAGTGGCCCAGAACCCGCTGCGGAGGGCTGGTTTCCGGCCCGTTAGTCCTTCCAAGGCTGCTTCCTGCAAGTGTCCCTCCCGCAGAAAAAATCACAGGCTCGGGAGAACAGCGACAAGGGGCCAACGAGGACCAAGTCACAGTTACACAGTGCCAAGAAGTCCAGGGTTTCATACTGGATCACAAAGGGACTACAGTTAGCACAGTGCTGCACATTTTTTATAATACTAAAAAAAAAAATCAAAGAAAGGATTCTGAATGTTTGCATGTTAGAGAAATGTTGAGTGTTCTCTCTGTAAGTAGATTTAGCCTGAGCTGAACATTACAGAATACAGTACCCGCGCATCACATGGCATCCCATAAACATGGGCAGTTCTACACATCAGTTAAAAAGAAAAAGTGAATTAAAATAACATGCTTCCCACATTTCACAAAGTGTTACTTACGTGTGATGTGTTCCAAATGCAATATCCAACTTTGCCTAGGATAAGAAAAAAAGAGTCGTTACATTTTCAAGTATTCAGTAGCTGAATTAAAAAAGGATCAGGTCAACCTAAATTTATTTTTTTACTGCCCTCTGTTGGACAAGTCCTTGAATAACAAGGCAGCTTGCTATGGAGGACCCAGGGCAGCTCAGCGTGTGTGCAAGCATGTGCAAGAGCGCACACACGCCATTTATCATCCACAATGATACACTGCATATGGCATTTTTAATTACAGTAATTGGGAATGAGAAACCTAATTTCTTTAGCTGTCAATAAACTAATAAAACAAATGAAGTTTCACGTAGAATTTTTAAATTAGGTATTTACTCTTTAGATATTAATGAAGTTTCCGGAGCATATTTAAAAGAAACACTGAGTGTGGTAAAACATAGTTATATTAGAATGCTTACTATGTAAATCCTTTGTATTTCAAACATATCAATAACTTCAAAAAGATAATACATTAAATCCATTTTTGTGTTAAAAACTGACCTTTACTAAGCAATGGTAGGCATGTGGAAAAGTAAAACTTAATTTAAAAAAGATTTACTTTTGTTGTAAAGTTGGATTCACAGAGAGAAGGAAAGACAGAGAGAAAGGTGTTCCATCTGCTGGTTTACTCTCCAAGTGGCTGCAACAGCTAGAGCTGAGCAAAGCTGACACCAGGAGCCCGGAGCCTTCCAGTGGGTCTCCCATATAGGCGCAGGGTCCCAAGGCTTTGGTTAGTCCTCAAATGCTTTCCCAGGCCACAAGCAGGGAACTGAAAGGGAAGTGGAGCAGCTGGGATATAAACCAGTGCCCATATAGAACCCCGGAGCATGCAAGGTGAGGACTTTAGCCACTAGGCTATTGAGCTAGTCTTGGAAAAATAAAACGCGTCATCCAACATCCTGGTCAAGCAGAAAATGCCACTAGATGTGTTAAGAAGGAGTTAAAAGTCACAGGAAAAGCTCTGCAATCAGAAATGGCTTGGAAAATACTTAGGTCTCTAGGTCTTTTCTTTTTAAAAATGGGGTGTTGTTAATGAGATTCACAGATGTTAGCGTCAATTAGAAAATGCATATATAATGCTTATTAGCAAAATGAAGGCTGAGGGGATGTAGGTAGTAAGCCCTCAACAGATGCTACTATCACTTGCCCCCCCTCTGTTCCCGCAGTGTGACAGACAGCTGGGGGCCGCTCCAGGGCGGGGTACGCCCGCTCTGGGGGTGCTCACCCCATCTGCAGGAAATACCTTCTAAGACCTGAACTGGTGGCAGACTCCACGCACTCTGCTGTGCTCCTACACACACGTGCCGAGGATAAAGCTCAGGCATAAATCAGGCAGAATCTTTCTTCTTCACAACTTCACAGAGAACATCTGTTCCACCCACAGATCATAGCAGCCTCAGCGTACAACGGTTTTATTAAGTACCGAATTCCCATCTTCTCACTCACAGCTGGCATTTACAGCTTTTTTTTTTTTTTTTTTGGCAGATTCAAATGACCAGCATCCTCACTCAGAAGCATCCTCACTCAGATACCTTGGAGCCATTCTCAAGTAAAACAAGGGACGCAAGCACTGCTGTGCCATGGCGGGTGCTCTGACAGCTGGGACAGCCGCTGAGTGCCCCACGCACAGGACGCTCAGGGGGCGATTCAAGTCCTAGGCAGGACGGGGCTTTCATCTCACTACTCAGGAACGTGTGCAAACTTATCAATGGTCTATTGCTGGCGGTCCCTACTTCCTATTTCTAGACCACAGCTTACTGCAGATAAATGACACCAGGAAGAGAGACGCTGTGTCTGGGGGCAGCCACTGCACTGCTGCACGTGTATGTGGGGAGGCTCATGGAGCAGCACACAGCTGTGTGCTCACCTGCAGGAGAAATGGCACACAACTGTATTACACGTCCCCGACAGGAAAATGCCATTTTGTAAACTGGTTGTCTTCCAGGAAGCACATCAGTCAAGAGATTTCACTTTTTTCTTTTTTCAAAGAAAAAAACCAACAAAAACATTTCATCTATTTTTATCGAAAAGTTAGAATTAGAGAAATCTTCCAACTGTGTTGGCTCACTCCCCAGATGGCTGCCATGGCCAGAGCTGGGCCTCCTGGGTCTCCCATGAGGGTACAGGAGCCTAAAGACTTGAGCTTTCCCAGGTTGTAAACAGGGAGCTGGATCAGAAATGGAGCAACTGGTGCCACAAGTGGAGGATTAGCCTGACATACCACCATGCCACCCCCAAGAGATTTGGCTTTTACACTTAGTTCTGCTTCATGCTTCAAGTTTCAGGGCAGAGGTCCGGCTCGGTGGCAGAGAGGCTAAAGTCCTTGCCTTGAATGTGCCAGGATCCCATATGGGCACAGGTTCTAATCCCGGCAGCCATGCTTCCCATTCAGCTCCCTGCTTGTGGCCTGGGAAAGCAGTCAAGGTCGGCCCAAAGCCTTGGGACCCTGCACCCGTGTGGGAGACCTGCAGGAGGTTCTAGGCTCCTGGCTTCGAACCGGTGTAGCACCGGCCATTGCGGTCATTTGAGGAGTAAATCATTGGATGGAAGATCTTCCTCTCTGTCTCTCCTCCTCTCTGTATATCTGACTTTTCAATAAAAATAAAATAAATCCTAAAAAAAAAAAGTTTCAGGGCAATTCTGTGCACAAAATACAAGGGAAACAAAAATTTCCAGATGAATGCTGGTTTGAGTTCCAGCTGTTTCACTTTTGACCCAGTTCCTACTAATGCGCCTGGGAGAGCAGGAGAGGATGGCCAAGTGCCTGGGCCCTGTACCCACATGGGAGACCAGGCCCCTGACTTCAGCCTTGCCTGGCCCCACCCACTGAGGCTGTTTGGGGAGTGAACCAGCCAATGGGAGATCTCCCCATCCTTCCTTCTCTTTGTAACCCTGCCTTTCAAAAATAAAGTCTTAAGGGAAAAACAATCTTCTGTAATCCTCACTTCGTCTCTTGGCAGTTTCCATTGCCTTGACGTCCTTCACACACTCACGGATCACTGTAACGCATGCACGTAATGCCCACAGTTCCCACAGAATTTAATTAATCTTTCAAGAACATCCGTAACTTTAGGTTGACACACTTGATGATATACATTATCAATTCATTTTACTTTTTTTCCTCCCTAGAAACTGGTGTTTGTTTTCTGCTGATTTCATTTTCATGTTGATTTGGAGACTGAATGGCAGCCGAAGACCAGCAGGTGTTCGTACCCACTCAGGGGCCTGGGCAGTGAGAGCGGCAGCCCGGTCTCCAGGAAGGAACTGCTGACTGGGCATGATGGAGGGCACCTGCTGACATCAGAGCAGTGTGGCTGGTGCATGTGCAAACTCAGGCGCAGGTGCATTCTGTTCACATTCTGGTTTCCAGCAGTGACCTGTTCTTCTCAGTCTCTTCAGGATCTAGGCAGAAGCAGCAATCACGCATGACCTCCCACGGGTGCTCTTGGCTGATGGGACCGTGGATGCACACAACCTCCTGGTCCAGCACCCACTGCCATCAGAGCTGTCAGGTGGGCTCCTGTGTTGTTGCAGGGGATGGCAACATCCACACAGCATGGTGGATGGCCTGTGTCCCACAGAACAGCAGCAGGCAGGTCCACACGCGACGCCACCGCCAGGAGATACAGTTCCCAGAAGACTGTCTGGGTCTTGTCAGCCAGAGTCTCAAGTACCAAGTGACGCTCTAGTGGCAGCAGTGAACCTCAGCAAGGCCCTCAGGCCAGTGTTGCTGAGTGACATCACACTGACATCAGCAGGGTTTCCAATGGCAACAGCACCAGAGCCGCCAACAGAAGCTTCTCCCAGGTCGTCTTCAGATTGATGCTGGGCGTGGGCTCTGCTGTGGACGTTTGAGGACCCCCTCCTCTTTCACTTGTGGGTCATTAATGGCTGCAGATACTGTGGCAGAACCCTGGGTTAGGCCGTGAATCAGGAGCAGCTCTGGGTGGCTCTCTTGCCAGGAGCAGGAAAGACAACCAGTCTCAAACATGATGAAATTTGGCTTCAACCATCAGGCTGTAGTGACAGCTCAGAATGGAGTAAACCTGAGCGTCTCCCCCACGTGTCACACGTGGAAGGCTCAGCCCCGGCTTGACTGTGTGTGGACATGAACACACGGGGCAACAGAGCTCAGAAGAGATTAGCGGGACTGCTCCCAGACCCGAGAGGACTAATGTCCTTACAGAGACAGCAGTGAGGTTGGATGGTCTCCATCTGTCACGTGAGGACGGGGTGACAAGGTGGCCTTCCACAAGCCAGGAGGATGCCTTCACCTTACACTTCTCAGTTTCTGGAACGTGTGATAACTGGCAGTTGTTTACGCCACCTGGGCATTTTGTCAGTGGGTACAGACTCACACACTCGGGGAGGGCTGGCCCAGAACCCACAGCATGCAGTCCCTGGCCCCTACTGATTTCTAGCTCATCTCTGGCCTAGGGTTACTTCTCTGCAAAGTGGGAGAAGTACTAATATCCACTGGTTCTTTGACTTGCCTGCCTCATCTTAAAAGACAGGGTTGGTAGAAAAAGTCAAGAATTAATCTGATAGACAAGGCACTAAATGCACTTCATTAGGCAGGGATGATGCCTCAATCCTCTGGGATTTCAGACCATAACCGAGAACTCACTTGCTCCTTGCACAAGGTTTGGAAGAAGTGGTTTATGACGCCCTCTGGTGGCCAGCCTATCCCTTATCATCTGATGAAAACTACCCTACTTCTATTGCCAGAAATACATGGAAAACAATGGAAATGCAGGCTGGGCAGAAGCCACACTACATAAGGCACAGTGGGGTAAGCCACGGGAGAAATGTGAGGTGTTTAGAACCTGAGTGAGCACTTGCACTGCTTTAATCTTCAAAGAAATACACAGAGGTGTCTGGTAGCTGCATGGGTGACACAGTGTTGACTTGGGATTCTTGTATTTTGAGTGGATGTGGAAGGAGGCACAGCTGGCAGAAAATAGCACAGCAAGGGAACCTGGGCAGCCTGCAGCGCGACCTAGAACCTACTCCAAGGGCGGGACTCATGGGCCAGTTTGATTAAACTATGGGCAAGGAAAGAGAGAAAGCTACACAAGCAACATTCATCACGTTTTCTCATCTTTACATGAGAAGGAAATCCTAAGCAAAAGGAATTCTTTTGAATCCTTGCTTTTCTTGCTCAGAATTTAAATGTAGTTAAAATCCTTTCCAGGGATTGGGGTGTGGCATGGTGGGTGAAGCCACTGATTGCAACGTGAGCTCTGAGTTCTGGCTGTTCTGTTTCTGGTCCAGCTCCTTGCTAACACACCGGGGAAAGCTGTGGAAGATGACCCGGAGCTTGGGCCTTTGCATCCGTGTGGGAGACTCAGGGAGTGCTGGTCTCCTGGCTCCAACCTGCTTCAGCTTTAGCTGTTGTGGCCATTTAGGGGATGAACCAGCATATAGAAGCTCAATCTCTGCTGCTAACTCTGCCTTTGAAATAAATAACTAAGCTACAGAAAATAATCAAACTTAAAATCCTTCCAGGGACTTACTTTAATTCAATGGGTTCAAATTTAAGAATCAACAGCCTCTCTGTGTTCTGAGTATAAAGCATTAGGACTAAATTACAGTTGCATCCAACAGTAACGGCTTTTCGGGCCTCTCGTCCACCTTGCTTTGAGAAGTGGTACACCTGTGATGAGTCTGCTTCCTGCCCCTCATTGGGCTCACATGACACACAGGGAGTTTCCTGACACACGTCTGTCTTTGGGTCTCCCCAGCACAGACTTTAAGTATTTATTTATTTATTTTATTTGATTTTTTTTTGAAGATATGCTTAAATGAAAAACAGAATTAGAAAAGCGAGACAGAGGTCTTCCATCAATTGGTTCACTTATCAAATGGCTGCAACGGCTAGGGTTGTGCCAGGCCAGAGCTAGGAGCTTCATCTGGGTCTCCCAACATGGGTGCAGGTGTGCAAGGAGTTGGGCCATCTCCCACTGCTTTCCCAGGCACATCAGCTGGCAGCTGGAGAGGAAGTGGAGCAGCTGAGGCTCAAACCAGCAACCATACATGATGCTGGCATCACAGGTGATGGCTTTCTCAGCTATGCTACAATGCTGTATCTTCACCTCCTCCTCCTCACGGAGCAGACTTTAGATACAGCTGTGTAAAAAAGTAATTAACATAAGTTAGACAAGGTGTCATATGACAGCTTTAAGCTCTACTCACAGATACACATAGAAAGAAACATAGAGCCACAGAACTGCAGTTAGAGACTCTTTGGGTGCAGAAATGCAGGTTTTGAGGTACACTGACCTACAGAATGTAACAGGAGAACTAGGAGAAGGTTGGAGAAAGAAACGGAATTCACAGCACAGTGGAACACAGATAGGAAAGTGAATGCTCCAATTTGTAAAAGAAACAGGAAGACCGAATAGATCAACTGCATGAAACACTAATGTTCGCCAGGGGAAGATTTCTTCTGTGTGATTCCAGGAGGAAATGGGACCGGTGGGTGGAAGTAAAAAGGATCAACACTTCAGGTAAATAATGAAAAATCTTTCCAGGGCCAGTGCTGTCACACAGCACATGAAGCTACTGTTTACAGAACTGGTATCCTATCCTGCAGTGTAGTTCAAGTCCTCACTTCTCTGACCCTGACCCAGTCCCAGGTCAGTGTGCAGTGCAGAAGGGTCTAAGTGCTTGGGCTCCTGCCCCTCACGTGGGAGACATGGATGGAGTTCCAGGCCCCTGGCTCCTGCCTGGCTCAGGGCTGGTCCTTGGGGGCATCTGGGGGAGTGAAACAAAACATGAAAAACCTCTTCCCCTGCCTTTCAAATAAATAATTTTTTTCCTTAAATTTATTTATTTTTATTGGAAAGGCAGATTTACATACAGGAGACAGAGAGTAAGGCCTACTGTCCACTGGTTCACTCCTCAAGTGGTAAAAATGGTTGGAATTGAGCTGATCTGGAGCCAGGAGCCTCATCCAAAGGTGCAGGGTCCCAAGACTTTGTGCCATCCTCAACTGCTTTCCCAGGCCACAGGCAGGGAGCCGGATGGGAAGTGGAGCAGCCAGGATACAAACTGGCACTCATATGGCACCCAGAGAATGCAAGCTGAGGATTTCAGCCACTAGGCTGCCGCACCGGGCCTCTTTTAAACAAGTAAATATTTTTAAAGAAACATTTCCAGTCACGAGGATAGCCAGAAACGGGAGGGGCTATATCCCTGGAAGCGCTGAGCTGAGGCCACCCATATCTGCTGGTGGTGCTGGAGACACGGTGTCCGCACAGTTGCGAGAACCAGCCAAAGGCCCGTGGTCCCCCACCCTCACCACCCTCGGCCCGAGCACTGCCTCCAGCAGCAGTGGGGCGCTCACCTGACAGAGGGTAACATTTTCATATGGCTTGGCCTGTGCATGTAACTGAGCCTTGGCTTCTCGCTTATCGCCATGCACCAGCAGGATTGGTTTCCTCCTGAAACGAGATCAGAAGCAATAAAAGCACATCCCTCACAACCCTGGGCTCCTGCCCACCAGGGAATGCCAGCTTCCGTACCACCCAGCCTTTCCCTGCACAAAGCAGTGATCGGATATTGTGTGTTCCCCAGTTACACCACTAAAGAGGGGCAGCGTGGCCTGATTGTGAAGCTTGGTTATGTCACAGAGGGACCATGACTCTACAAAGTCATCGACAAGTATCTTCTTTGGTCCCAAAGGGTTCGGAGGTAGTTCTGTGTCAATACAGTTAAGTTCAAACAGATTAAAGACCACTGCTGTTTCACAATATGATGCTTTTTCTTTTTTTCTCTTTTGGACTAAGCAAAATAAGATTTACTCTACACTGAATTCACTAAGCTCAAGCTTTCTGCCTCAGACCTGTATACTGAGCTAGACCCCAGACACAACAGTGGGCAGGCTCACGGCTTGATATGGATTCATTAATGGGCTGCTGGACTCAAATGCAACAGAGCTCCATCCGCACTGAAGATGCTGTGCTTTCAAATGCCAAGGAATCAGAAACATTCTGCAAAGATGGACTAAGAGGGTGTCCAGGGGACCCTCTATCTTCTTCAGCTATCACAAAGTGAGAAAATTCCTTAGAAATCCACTTATTTTTACAGGCTCTCCCAACACAACAAATATTGGATTTTTCTCCAGCAAGCAGTTGAGTAAGAGAAGACAAACTACCGCCACATTCGTACGCCATCAATCGTGCTGCACGGTGACCCTCCAGCACGTAGGAAGGCAGCCAGAGTGAGAAGACAGGAGACGCACGTCCACCTCTGACATCTGACTACGTCACTGCCCCCGTCTGGGACCAGGCGTGCTCCAGAGGCACTCCAGAGTCTGGTACTCTGTACACACTTTACCGGACATTGCTCCAGTATCAGAATATTTTTGTGGTCATGCAGGTACTTAAAAGTTATAGATTTTGAAGCTTCTAGAATTTTAGAACTCCCACCGTTGGTTGATTAGAGCACACCCTACCGACTTCATTTCACCCGATTACTACTGCACAGTCCTCATGTCCAAATGAGATCACTGAGATATGGGGGTTCAAGACCCTCAACATATCTTTTTGGGGTGAGACAATTTAACCTGTGACAGACACTAAAAATCCCACCCAGGTGCTGGAGGGGTCACAATTGTCATCAAAGTCTCTGAGAAGAGAAAGCGCCAGGGACACTTAGTGCTGACAGGAGCCCACGGCAGAGGCCGCTATTGCCTCCAGCTGCCCGCTCTCCTCTCCTTTCTTTCAGGACAAGGCATCCCCAGCTGATGAAGACACTCCCAGACCCTGCTATGCCGCTGAACTCTGCTCAACGACCGAGGGTGACAGAGAGGACTTTCTAGAAGGTTGTTCCATGAGGCACAGCGGGCACTCAGACCCTGGCATACTTCCCCTTCTCTCCTCTTCCTGCTATCTGGAGCACACAGGAGAAAGCTAGAGCCTTAGCTGCCACCCTAGACTACAGGGAGACCCCAAAGACTGAAGTGACCTACCAGGACACAAAGAGTTGGGCAAGTTCCAGACCACAACAGCACTCCCAATTCAGAGCACAAATGCCTACCATCTGCGCCTCTCAGGCTGAAAAAATTAATTTGCCTTATTTAAGCCACTGTCATTTCTAGTTTTCTGTTACAGGCAGCTAAAATTAATCCTTTATGTTTCGGGTCAAATAACAGCCCTTCAGTGCCAAAGCTGCTTGGGCAGTTGCCACATTTTATCCTCTGTGAGTGACAGAGATTTGCACCATCTGATGCCCCAAATACACCAAGGATTTTGTGGGTATTCCTCTGCCCTGCCTGCTGGCAGAGGATTCCGCCACACAGCAGTATTAGAGATGGGAGTGGGCAACGTGATGCAGCGCAGGGCTATCTGCATTTGGCCTGTGTCGCCCTGCACAAGTCTGGCAAACTGTAGAAGAGAACTGCTTTTAAGAGCAATGCGGGGCCCGGCGCGGTGGCGCAAGTGGTTAAGGTCCTCGCCTAGCACGCCCGGGATCCCATATGGGCGCCGGTTCTAATCCCGGCAGCCCCGCTTCCCTTCCAGCTCCCTGCCTGTGGCCCGGGAAAGCAGTCGAGGACGGCCCAAGGCTTTGGGACCCTGCACCTGCGTGGGAGACCCGGAAGAGGCTCCTGGCTTCGGATCGGCATAGTATCGGCCCGTTGCGCTCACTTGGGGAGTGAATCATCGGATGGAAGATCTTCCTCTCTGTCTCTCCTCTCTGTATATCCGCCTTTCCAATGAGAAAATAATAAAAATAAATCTTTAAAAAAAAAAAAAAAAGAGCAATGCGTACACAGCCTGGGTACAGAGAGCCCACTGAGCTAACTCCAGAACCACAGGAGCCATGATGTGAGAGACACAGAACAGGGCGCACGTACATGTGACTCATGCGTATCACATGCTAGGGGTTGGAAAGCATACGAACGTGATCTCTTCTTCCATGCTGACACTGGACAGGAAGTTCTGCTGAACTGGAATTTGTTTTTCTCTACCTCTGGACAAAGCACACAGGCAAATACTAACCTCCGCAGAAACAATCAGTGATTGGATGGGCAAGATGACAGCAATCAAAATGCTGTCCCCCTTATCAGCCAGATTTAAATGGCTTCCAAAGAAATATTCGAAAAGATGGCTGGCTTTTGCCCATGAAGCACAGATCTTACATTTCCAAGTTCCATTATGGCTCATGGTGCCCTCGGTCACCGGCGGAACTCACCTGAACTCTGGAGGGTACTGTCTGATGAGCCAGTCCACGTCGAAGCAGTAGTTAAACTAGACAGGGGAGAAGAAGAGCAACTAAGCCATCAGCCATGCAGCTAAGCTGGTCACAACGAAATGGAAAGAGACTCTAAAATAATGATGCGTGACATACATTATTTACAACCCTGGGTGGCTTCACTGCAATACCCCACACTTAAAAAACTGAACTTGCAGGAATACATGGTAAAAGGATCCAAGTAAGTGGGGCCAGATGCACAAGAAAATGGGTTCTGAGGGAATTTCCCCTACACACCTTGGCAGCACTCGTACTTGTCCATGTTGTATTACTACAGTTCTTCTAACAGGCCTGAGATTAATTTAAATCACAGGCCATAAATGTGTCCCCTCTGCCCAGGTGGTTATGTCCCCAGGATGTGAAGAAAGGAACCTCTCCTTGAAGCTTAACTCACTAGATAGCTTAGTCCCAGGCGTCCGGGACTGCACAGTCACAAACTGGGCAGCCTGAACACAAGTTCTGTACTGGTCTGCCTGTGGGGAGTCCTGCTCATGCTGGGGTAACCCCACAAAGGGTTGTTCTAATCAGAGGAATTCAATGTGGCTGAGAACAGCCCTCCTTCCCCTCAGACCAGGACTCTGCAGGTTATTCCCTCTTGGCTTTCTTGGGGAACATGGGCCTTTTCCCTACTCATCTGTAAGCCTGGAGCGTCAGTATAATGATGTACCAGTACAAAGGGAGTGCTGTGGCCAGGCAAACACACATGCACACGCACCCATGTTCAAGACTCCTCCCTTCTTGGCAGGGGCAGGAGTTCTACATGTTTCTAGATCACACGTACACACAGTTTCCCAGGGGGTTGCTCTGAGTTCCATGAGATTATCTGTGTCCACAAAAGCCTTGAGGCTGGAACATCCATAATGCCTTCTTGGCCAGCCCTCACAGCCTAATCCAGAGTCAGAGGTTTTGCAGTTGTTGGCAGCCAGGAGTCCCATGACACTGGCACAAGGTGCATGACCCTCAAGGATGCTGCCCAGGGCTGGGGCACAGGTCCCACCTCTCAAGCTTCTCTGAGAATTTAGTTGTCTGTTTTCACCCAAAGAAAAAACGGTTTAGCTCTAAACTCACCTGAGCTGAAGAGACAAGTGTCCCAAACAGAGGAGATAAAATATCTAAGAAGACAAAACATAAAAACCAAATTCACACTCTGATAAAAGTCCTCTGGTCACAATAATCACAACCCACTAACAGTCACTGATAACCAAGATTTAGTTAAGAAAACACTAAGCTGAAAAGTGATCACAAAGCTAGACTTTAAGGTTTTGTAAAATTTAATAAAGAATTTCTCAAGGCTACTTAATATTTATTATACACTGTTTATGCAAGACACGGTGCAAAACCAAAATCTTCCTCGGTACTGATCAATTTCAGAAACTGGCAGCAAACAAGATGTAGGCTCCTCTTCCTGGGGCTCCCAACTTTTACTCCCACCAAGTACCAATCCGAGTTCCTCTCTAGGAAGCTCTCTGCCTTGGGACACACCAGGTGCTCTCCTTAGGAACCTGCATGCTCTTGCTTCCTGTAAATCCAAGGTCAGGGGTATTCTTGGCTCCAGGTGATGTTGCTGCTACTGGTCCAGGGACCAAGGAAGACTAAGGCTGCATGTCTGCTATGTCACCCACAGGGCTTCTGGTCAAGCTTAACCTTGGACTTCAGCAACTGTACACATGCTGCTAAACACTACAAAGGGCTGAGCAACAAGGTTTCAAGAAACACCCTGGGTTGCCTGTGCCAAGCAGGTCTGCTCAGACTAAAGCACTAGCTTGTTACAAGAATTTTTTTTTCCCTTCTGAGAATATCTAGATCCTAAATAAAGGTTTTAGAGGCACACGGCAGGCTGCCCTGGTCTTCTGACCCATGGTCCACACTCATGGGTAACTGGGGGACACCCCATCCACAGTTTCCTCTTACCCTTGATGTGGAGGGCTCCAGAGTTGTACTTGGGCTTGATTCCCGAGACTCTAGTGAGGTAGAATTGGAAGGGGTTCCCTTTATCCAACATGTCCCAAATGTCCTGGCCTTCCCCGGACGTCTCATCCCTGTCTTGAGCCTCCTCCTTGAGCCTGTGACTTGCAGCTGTCTGGGCAGTGCTGTCCTGGGGAGAGAGGCCGGTCCTTTCCTCACAGCCCATGTCTTTCCTCGCCTGCTTCGGCTGGGATTCTGGTGGGACCTCGTCATCGCTGCTGGAGAGACACCAGCCCAGGTCCTCCTGGGAAGCGCTTCTCTGCACCTTGGGAGGATGACCCGAATCAGGGTCGCTGTATCTCACGGGGGATGCCTGTCTCTTGTGCGCGGCTCTGCGAGCCTCAGAACAGGTGTACTTTGGCTCACTGACGGCGCTTGGTGCAGCAGCAGGGACAGCAGACGGGGATGGCTTGTCCAGTTTCGGCTTTTCGTCCTCACTCTCATCGCTGCTGGATATTGTCCACCTCCCGTAACTGCACTCCTGAGACATTACGCTTCTGGAAACAATAGAAACAGCATAAGACTCTCTGGTAACGTCACTCTACTGCTCTTAAGTTCTCGGCCAGATGAGTTTCTGCAACACACACCCTGTGCTTCTGACATTCGTCAGGGGTGGGCCACGTAACTCGTGTCTGTTATTCTGTAGGTGTTCACAGGCACAGTACCAGATGTGCCACAAGAACTTGTCAAAGTAACAAAAATCCTCCTCGCCTTCCCTTCTTGGCTCTTTGTGCCATTAGATACCCTGGGGAGGGGGCCGGAGCCAAACTCCAAGACCACACAGAAGAATTATTCTTGACCCTGGAGCTTCTGACAAACAGGCACTCCGGATTGAGGCCAATTTAAAAAACAATTTTGGGGCCCAGCGCGGTGGCGCAGTGGTTAAGGTCCTCGCCTTGCACGCCCGGGATCCCATATGGGCGCCGGTTCTAATCCCGGCAGCCCCGCTTCCCTTCCAGCTCCTTGCCTGTGGCCCGGGAAAGCAGTCAAGGACAGCCCAAAGCCTTGGGACCCTGCACCCGCGTGGGAGACCCGGAAGAGGCTCCTGGCTTCGGATCGGCATAGCATCAGCTGTTGTGCTCACTTGGGGAGTGAATCATTGGATGGAAGATCTTCCTCTCTGTCTCTCCTCTCTGTATATGCGCCTTTCCAATAAAAAATAATAAAAATAAATCTTTAAAAAAAAAACAATTCTGCTGAAAATTTTAAGATTGAATTGGAATTTATACATCTATCCTCCACTCAAGCACAGGCAGCCATAGCACTTAAGTAGGTTTATCTGATCGCCCTGAAAGCCACTTTTTGCAAAAAAGGTCCCCAAGAAGAATGCCAAACGGTCACTTCTGCACGTTATTTAAGAAGTAATTACACTGCTGTCCATTTCATAAATCACATGTTCAAACCTGCAAAGAAAGAGTTTAGGTAACACTCTTCCTTTCCAAGCCACAAATCTCAGCTTTCTTGTTCTTGGAAGGCAAAATACCTGAAACAGATACTTCCAGATACTTTTTTGGTAAACAAGGCTGGGGCATATATTTGAATATCAGTAATAGTATCGCCAATTACTACAGTAGGACACCTACTTCCACAATCCAGCAAGCAGTATCTCCGTGAACTGACACCCTCAGTGGCCAAGGAGAACCTGGCACTAAAGGCAGGGCCATCAGCAGCCAATGCGTGAGAGCTGGACGTGCCTGCCAGGACCCCTTTCACCTCTCCAAAAGCCCAGGGGGCCCAGCACCCACAACTGCTGGCCTGGGCAGTGGCTCTTCCAGCCTAGGTCTGAAGTCATCCAGTCAGTAAGAATTAGAGAAATGACAGCAGTTTGCCCACGCTGGGGGTGACTGGGACTCGATGCTAATGGACATGATCAAAGTAGCCACTTCCTCCCTGGCGACTGGAGGGACCAAGTGCTCCGAGTCTGGCTTTGGGGGTGTGGGCGTGCGCCACTGACACTCTCCCATCGAGGGAAGCTACTGCATTAACAACAAGAAAAAGCTGTCTAAAAGAGTATGTTTAAATGAGAGGATTCAGATAAAAAGATGAATCCATAAGGAACACTTGGGGAGGCAGGTGAGCGATGGAAATCCAGCACACATCACAGTGAAAGGATGACAACCGAGACAGTCTGCCTGTATACACTTCCATGAGCGACTTCCAAGTCGGGTGAGAAGGTACCGCACTTAATGCGCCCTCCGCCCCCCAACTCCACCTGCACCTGCGGCATATCCTGTCACGCCTCCAGCTGCTCCCTCCAGGACTTGAAGTCCCGGAGGCAGTCCGGAAGCTGGGCTGCCTTGCTGAGGCCCTGGGTGGCCAGCTGGGGGTCCCAACTTCAAACTCAACCATATACAGGCAGTACCTGGGTACCTGTGCAGGTGCATGACCCTCTGGGCTTCAGTTTTCTCTCGCCTGGGTACTGGGCATTGCTGCCAGTCACTCAGCACTCACTGAGCAGTTATCCAGTACCAAGCAAGGGAATAAGTCTACAGTTGTCCCAGAAGACAGCCATCAACGTGGAAGAGTCAGCAACCCAAAAACATTTTCAAGAGTCAAGATCGGAAAAACCCAGCGGTGAGCCAGAAAAACGGGGATGCTCCAACTTTGGGGCATGCTGAGGGGCACCTGGAGCCGTGGCGGACGAAAAGGCAGCAGCGGGCTACAGGATGGGACGAAAAGCTTGGCAGGCACCTGGTATCTAGAGGAGTTAGGTGAGCTGCAAGAGCAGAGGTGCCGCGCAGGACTTGGGGCGGGGAGGTGGCTTTTGCACAGCAGTTAAAACGCCAGCCACACACTGACTCACTCTGGCCCAGGCTCCTGGTGCCAGCTCCCTGCTAAGGGGCACCCAGGGCAGCAGCAGGCACTGCCAAGTGAGTCCCTCCCAGCTGGGAGAACCAGATTTGAGTTTGGGGCTCTGGGTTTCACCTTGCTCACCAAGCTGCTAAGAGCATCTGGGGAGTGAATCGCAATGGACGTCTGTTTCAAGTTCATAAATAACAAAACCACTACTTTTTGTCGCGACTAAGAAATCCTGTCCGTTATGTTACAAAGTGAGAGCTGCGGGACAGAAAAGCCTGGAGTTAGGGAACAATTCGTAAGTAGTACTGGGTTCCTTCTGACTTTCTTAGAATGTCACTGTCTCAGAGAAGCGTTGGAAGGAGGGCAGAGTGTGGCGGGGGCTTCAGAGCTGGGGACAACGAGGGCCCACCTGGGGGACGCCTGGCAGTGGCGAGCGCCGCTCCTCTTCCTGCACACTCGTCCCACCTGTGACAACTCCACGCCGCGCTGCACCACCGCCCCAGGCACGGGGCAGCCGAGCTCGGTGGCGGCTCCCGCAGTCACCACGGCCCGAGGGCGCCCCACGAACCCCTGCCCAGGAGAAACGCCGGAAAAGGAAGGAGCGGGGAGGACCCTCCGGTCCCAGCAGCGCCGCAACAGGTGCAGCTGTGCTGGGGTGGAGCGCGCTCGGCTCCGGCCCCCGGCGAGCCCGCGGCTGTGCGGCTGTACCTCTCCCGCCCTGCCCCGGACGCGGGACCCACCCGGCCCGCGAGAGCTAGCGCCCGCAGCCGCCTGCCCACGTACCAGCCGTCCGCCCTGTCCGCCCCGCCGCCGCGTGCGCGGTGCGCCTGCGCGCGGTTCAAACCCTCTGGCCGCGGCGCGCGCCCCTCGGCCCGGCCCCTCCCGGAAGTGCTCCGCCGGGTCCTAAGACCTCGCCATGCCAAGTCGGGGTGCTCCCTGTCCCCCGCACCCCGCTCTCCCTCGGCCCCTTCTAGCGGCGTCTGTCACAGGGAGAGGGAGGTTTGCCGTCTCCTCTCCCAGCTCGTTAGCCAGGCTCGCTCCCTCCCCGCGGGTGCTCAGGCGGCGGCGGTGACGGGGAGACCCGCGCGAGCACACACGCGTGGGCTCTCGTGGGCTGCCCAGGGTAGGTCAGTGCGTCCGGGCCCAGCTGCTGAGGCGGAATGCCCGGTTCTCCTTGTGCTTGTTCCTCTCGGCGAGCTGCCAGAGCAACCCGGGCTCTGAGGTAAACTCGGTCGCCTCAGAACGCCCTGCCTGGCGTCCCGGGCCTCGTGCGAGGGAGTCTTCCCTGAGGGGCCCGATAGTGCCGCAGATGGAAACCACCCCGAGTACTGTACTGCGCGTGATGGGGAGCGCATGAAAAGCACGCGTGATCCCGACACACCGACACCAAACGCGGAAGCGTCGCTGTGCACCGCGGGGTGCAAGGGGTTAAGGCGGGCCTCAGAATGGGGGCGGAGTCTGGTGTTAGGGGCGGGTCCAAAAGCCTCCCCGCCCCCGGCTGGTCCAAGGAAACGTTGTCAAACAAAGCGTCTGGCCAATAGCACGCAAGGATCGACGCCAGTGGCTCGCGGGCTGCCCAATGGGAGACGACGTTGAGTCGCACGGCCAATAGGAGCTCCTGTTCCCGCCGCGGGCATCCGGCCGCCGGTGTTCGAGCTCGGGCGTGACGCGGTGTTGGTGGCCGCTGTGGCGCTATGTTTCTTTCTGAGGCGCTGACCAGGCAGCGGACCTGGGAACCCAGCCCCTCGGAACGCAGGCAGTGGGTGGAAGTAGGTGTCCGAAGAGGCGACCTTGAGGCTTCGCGCTGGGTCTCTTGTGGTGGTGCAGAGCCGACTGGGGCGCCCTTCCCAGGGCTCAGAGGTCCTGACCCCGCACCTGCAGCGCCTGGCTCCCGGTCGGCTGTTGGGGGGTCTTTAAGTGCCATCCCTCCACCCCCCAATACCCCGCTAGTGCTGCCTTCCAGTCTGCATCTTTTCCCCACATAGAATTTAACCTAAAAGTTTCAAGCAGTTAATCTGCATTTGCTTCAGGTTAAATGCCAGCCACATTTTATTAAATTATTTGTCCCCTCCCTTTTTTGTGGGGGAGTAGATTTCTTGTCTACCCTAAACATCTCTTGGAGACTGACATTAGCCAGGTGGGACACACGTTTCTAGGCGCTGCCTCTGGGTTGAGGCTCGGACTTTTAAGGTCCGTGATCATAGAAGCAACAGAGCACGTGGGTTCTGTCTGAGTAACTCCAGGCCTTTACGTCCCTTAGGTGTTTAACGCTTGCGATGAAGACCGCAAGGGCTACCTGAGCCGGGAGGACTTTAAAGTGGCTGTGGTGATGCTGTTTGGGTACAAGCCCTCCAAGGTAGAGCTGGCTTTGTGTACTCGGGGCTGGGGGCGGCAGCGGGGTGGGGAGGCCGTGTGAACCGGGACTGTGTGGCCGCTTCCAAGGCTGCAGCCAGCTCTGCGTGTGCCCAACTCAGAGCAGTTTTGCTGGAGACCAGGAGGCCTGTCTCCCCCAGGGCTGATGGTTTTGATGAGAAATATGAGGTGCTGCCAAGATGGAGGAGGCAAAGCTGGGAGGAGGGTGTTGGCATGCAATCTCTTTCTTTTACACTTATTTTTTGCCGTTTTAAAAAATTCTAAAAGAAGTACATTCCCATAATAATAATGGTACTAATCCTCTCCCTTCCTACTGGAGATCCCACTTGCCAGGGATTACCATGAATGGTTTATCGGATGATGGTCCAAAATTTCCTGTCTAACTGACATACATAGGCCCACTCCTCCCCTTGTTTTACTTTTCTTATTTAATAGATTAACTGAAAAGAACAGTGACCACTATGTTGAAAAAAAAAATGGTTTCATGGTATTCAACTGGTTGTCTGGATTTCGCTGTTTTGTTTTGTTTTGTTTTCCCTACAACTACTGCCATGAGCACCTTTTGTAGCTCGCTGTATGCACACAGGGGTGTGTCTGTTTTCTTGTGGATGTCATTGTGGGATGTTTGTAGCACTATGACACTGGGTCGCTCTGGGCGGTGGGCTGTGTACCTCTAGCGTGGTCTTGGCTTTTGCTCTGCAGAAAGGAGGTGCCCACGCATGGGTGGGGGAGAGAGGTGCCCAGGGCTTTCTTGGTCTCCTGGAGCAGCACCTGTGTCCCGGCTACGCCGGCTGGCCTACTCCTGCTGTCCTAGAGATGGACCCCTCACAGGAAGTCGCTGAACTGAAACTGACCAAGCTCAGACACTGTCCAGAGGCAGGACACCTGAGCACAGCTGCCGGCTAGCGGGAGCACTCTGTCATGCTGTCACATCTGGATCCACATTTCCTGCCAATGGACACTTCTTTGCCTTTCACACCAGGTTGAAGGATTGGATTTTATTTTTTTAAGCAAATGGGGTATTTCCTGGAGGCAGGACACTAAATGATGTGCTAGTAGACCAAAATCACCTAATAGTCATGTACACAGTTAACTTTTATGACTGTGTATTTTCGATCAAAGTTTTATTAGGGATTTATTTATTTGAAAGACAGCATGACAGAGAGAGAGAGAGAGAGAGAGAGAAAGATCTTCCATCCACTGGTTCACTCTTCAGATGCCTGCAGTAGCCAGGGCTGGGCCAGGTGGGAGGTCAAGAAGCAGGGATCCCGCTCTGGGTCTCCTGTGGGAGTGGCAGGAACCGGTGCCCTGAGCTGTCTGGAGTAAGAGCGGGAAGCTGGCTTCAAGGCAGATGAGGTGGGACTGGAGCCAGGCAATGCTGTACCGGATGTGGGTGTCCCAAGCAGAGCTTAGCCTGCTGTGCCACAGATCCCCATCCCCCTCCATGAAATTTAATGGATTTGAATTTTTACAGTAGATTCGGGTTTAGTAAGAGAGCAGCATGACCACCAGGGATGCCACTCAGTAAGGGAGTTCTCAGAGGAGCAGGTAGAGGGAGGTCAATACAGATCAGGTGCTCCAGATGCAGCCGCCTGTTAAGAGCTATGGGAGTATGGAGGCCACAATGGTGTTCATCGTTTGGGAATCAGGGAGAGGTGAGGGTTGGAGCTCGATTTGAGATACCTCAACTTACAGTTGGGTGCTCAAGACTTGAGATCAGGTGGTTCCATTCCAGACAACATGCCGGCTCTGAAGAGTAGGTGTCTCGGGACAGAACTTGAGGGAGGCCAACATGCAGTGGTGGTCAGGGGCCTTCATCAAGAAGACAGAGTGGTACCTGTTAGGGAGGGGCATGAGGAACCAAGGAAGTACAGGGAAATGCAGACTGTTCAAGATGAAACTAGAGATTTATCAGAATCTCTAACCCAAGGTTCTCATTCCCAATGGAACAATTTGGGAAAAGGCTTAGATTTTCATATTTAGTGAACACGTGAGTCTGCAGACTATCTAGAGTGTGTCCTCAAGTGCATTTTAAAATGCTGGCCGGCAGACATTTGGCCTGCTGGTCAAGGTGTCCCTGGCCTGTGCTGAAGTGTTCGGGTGTGGTTCCTGGCTCCTGCTCTTACTTCCAGCTTCCTGCTGCTGCAGACCTTGGGAAGCACAGTGATGGCTCAGAGAACTCGGTTCCTGTTGCCCGCGTGGGAGTCCTGGGTTCAGTTTCCACCTCCTGGCTTCAGCTGCGGCCTAGCCCCAGCCAGCCCTTGCGGACTGTTGGGGAGTGAGTCAGTGGATGGCAGTGAGCTCTGGGCACCTGCTTTCTCTCTCTCCCTCTTTCTCTCTCTGCATGTGTCTGCTTCTCAAAAAACAGAATTTTAAAAACACAGGAAAGAAAAACTAGAACAAACTATTTGTAGCAGTTTTCACCTGTGTGGCTAGTTTTTAAATTTCCTTCTCATTTTCTTAAATAAGTATTTTCTGCTCTTTTTTGCATCATGTGTTACTTTTATAATCAGGAGAACAAGTAAAAAGTAAAACCATGGAGCTAGTTGTAAGAATTACTTGTGTTTGTCTAAAGCAAAAAGTTATGTTTTTGATTGTGTTACATATTGGACACCTAAGATGGTTTTATGTGCTTAACCTGTTTTGGTCAATGAAACAGAGTTTTGGAGACAGTGGAGTACACAGCAGATGTGTAGTTGGTGTCTTACAGATATTAATATAAAAACAAAAGGACTGTTCTCCTGAGTGGAATTATTTCTCTGCTGGATTCAATTGATTTCTCGTGAAATACACCCCATGTCCTGCCCCAGAAATTAAGAATTTGTACTTTGAAAACTATATGTTCTGTTATTCTTTCTTCTTTTCTAGGTGGAAGTGGATTCTGTGATGTCTTCAGTAAATCCAAACACTTCTGGTAATATGAAAGTTACTGTTCATTTTTAGTGTCCTTTTGTAGATTTTCATAAAAGCTAAAGAACAAATATAAAAAACCGTAAAATGTTAGGTTGAAGTACACGTTTGTTTCTCGTTATTTAAAGGAAAGCTTTTGGTTCTTTTGATTTTATTAATTATTCCTAAATGTGATTTATTAGGGAAAATTTTCAAACCACTGGGGAAAAATGTGCAGTGTGGCTTATGATTGCAGCAGCCCAGGGTGTTTCTGGATTTTCTGGGTGAATGAAATGGTACTGATTGAAATGGGAAGACTGCAGGAGACTTGGACTGGGAAAGGATAGGTTGGGCCAGAGGTAGGTCTTAAGGTTGGCAGTCTGCTGCCTCTCCCATGGTCTCTTCCACTTCCAGTGCATGCTGAGAACTCCCAAAACTGTCCCCTGAATTCCGTATCACACAGCCTCACTGTTCAGACAGAGTGGATGGAAACTTCTTTACTTTCCTTTAAATAATTCATGTTTAAATGTATTTTAGAAGGCTATCGGGTTAGTTAGTCATCTTAGAAATTCAGGGGACCTATCAGGAGAAGGATACATTCAGAGGAATGAGATCCAAATGTAGGTGCTTGGTGCCTTGTTGAAAGCTAGCCGTCAAATATCCATCATGTGGTCTCCAAGTGTCCAGGCCTTACCTTTGTTACAGTTTTGATTTCAACACCAAATTAGCTTTCTGAAGGCATCCTTTTGTTCAGGATTAAAGGAACAAACTTACAACCAAGACACTAACTCTCCAACCAGCTTCAATTCACAGCCTCAAGAGGCTGAAGATCACCAAAGAAAGTAAAATACTCAAACAGGAAGTCCCCATGAAACTCCAATTACTGCTAATGCAAAGTTCTTCTGTTAGAGCTGTTTAATATTGAACCAGTTTCAGGCCTTGGAGCCTACTTTATCTCCCTGTTATTGACTGAGTCCTATTTTCGTGGTATTTCTCTTGAGGAAAGATGGTTCATGCAGAGATTGTTTTTCCAAATATATTATCTCTCTTCTTAACATTTTGATCTGGAAGGAGTGAAATGTTGATTCAACTTCTTGGGAACTGTTGGTTCAAGTCGCTCACTTTTGCATGTTCTGGGTAGCTGTGCCTTTGGGATTCTCTTTCTACTTCCCATAATTGTTCTTGCTTCAAGGCAAGATCATGTCGGGTCTCCAGCACACCTTTTCTCAGGGCATCCTTTGGAGGGAGGGCCTTGTTGTTGCGCAGCATGCTGGGTGAGGCCCAACTCGTGTCCAGGCTTGCCTCTGATCCAGCTGTTATAAGGAAGGCCCCAATCCTCAAAAGGTACCCACTTTACTTTGGAATTGGGGTAATTCCCATACCCAGATGCCCAGGTCCTGCTTTCCAAGAAATTCCAGTCCTCCCGAAAGACGGATGGTTACTGTAGAGCTTTCTTGTGAAAATTAAGAAGAATGAAGTAAGTAAGAATTACTGGAAAGAAGAGTAGAATAGCTGGAAGAAACGTACAAGCTGGGAAAATTTCAGGGCAGCCAGCATGAGTGACAGAAAGGTGCTAGCAATGTCTTTTATTGTCAGTTACCTAACAAGCCGGCTGATAAAAGTAGAAGCTTAGGTAGCTAGGACTGAGGAAACTTAGTGGCGTGAGAAACAAACTCTAGCCACTTGTTTGAGGGAACAGTGGGTTGGTGGGGAGGTTGGTTCCAGTGTTCAGTATTGGTACCTTTTTCTGGGAATTTATTGTAGCTCAAGTTTCTCCCCTACAATGCATGACTTACCAAGTATACAAACTGAAGAACTGCACATGAAAGTCTAAAAAAGTCATCTGTCCCCATTAGACCATGAGATTCAGAAGAGAATAATAATAAAATAGTAAATTGGGGTGATTATTTATAAGGTAACCTTTACATGTAGTAGAGCATTTTACAATTATTATGGTGACTGCAGTTATTTTGTAAACAATTCCCCAGTGCAGATGTGTGATAAGCACTAGGCATTGATTATTATCTTTAATACAACTCTTACTGATAGCGAAATGCAGCTGAGTCCAAGTGGTCATTATTCTGCTGACTCCATGTCGCTGTCTCTCCATTACCACCCTGTATTCTCATAACACTCACCCAGAGCAAAAGCCAGAGCAGGGACGCTGTGTCTTTTGTTTCCACTGAGTGTTTAGACTGAGTGGTTTTTTTTTTCCCTCCCCTGTGTTTCCTTACAACATTGCCCTTTTGAAATAATGGAGATATTTTCCTTTAATACTTGAAAAAGCTTTCCAGGAACTTACTTTTTACCTTCATCTTTGAATGATGGAAAAATCAAAGAGATTGATTCATCCTACCAGTGATTGTGGGCTGTTTGACTCAGGTATGCCATCCAGTGTGAGTTCAATTGAAAAATGATTTCTGATTAGGCTAATGACCAGTTGGCTTGTATGCTTTTATCTTTTGTTGTGTTGTCTGACTTGCTTTAAGCTAGGCCATTGACTATTAAACATACTATTTTCCTGAATTAAAATTCTCATTTTTCTAAGTCTTTTTGGTTCTGCTATAAAATACTTTCTGTTGTCTGTTTCATTGCTTTTCATTCCTGCCTACAAAAGAAAGGCCAAGGTATAGTAGAGATGAAGGTTTTATTTGTTTAATTTCAGATTTCAGGGCCCTGGCATGGTGGCCTAGTGGCTAAAGTCCTCGCCTTGAATGCACTGGGATCCCATACGGCGCTGGTTCTGATCCCAGCAGCTCCATTTCTCATCCAGCTCCCTGCTTGTGGCCTGGGAAGGCAGTTGAGGACTGCCTAAGGCCTTGGGACCATGCACCCATGTGGGAGACCTGGAAGAAGTTCCTGGCTCCTGGCTTCGGAGCGGTGCAGCACTGGCCATTGTGGCCACTTGGGGAGTGAATCATCCCACGGAGGAGCTTCCTCTCTGTCTCTCTTCCTCTCTGTCTCTCTTTCTCTCTGTATATCTGAATTTGCAATAAAAATAAAATAAATCTTTAAAAAAATAAAAAAAAATTCAGATTTCAGCTGGCCTCTTAGTTTTTTCCACAATGAGGACATAGCATAGAAATTAAGATTATTAGTTTATCTGAATTGGTAATTATGATATTACCTACAGAGAGTCACCTAGCAGATGGCAGTGAATTAGGAGATGGACACTGACCTATGACATTCCTAGTGCACATCTTACGGGATAGGATGGTCACAGAAGTCCTGTTCCTTCCTTCAGATGTTACACCAATGTATTCTATAGGCAAGAAGATGATGAGGAGTTTTAAAGGAATGTGGCTTTTCCTTTTTGGACAAAAATGTGGATGGGCCTGACGCTCAGTGTTGCAGGATGGATGGGATTTGAAGAGGTGGCAAGTGAATGCAGAGCTGACATGAGCTGCATGCGGTCTCCTGCTTCTACGGCAGTCTTGTGCTCTGCTGGGCTTGCATGAGTGCAGAACTTGGCATGGATTCACGCTTGGCCCATGCTCAAAAAAACCCCACCACAAAAGCACTGGATAATGTGTAGACTTGCTGGTCACTGGGCAGAGCGGCTTTTCAAGGTGGAGCTGGGCTAGGCAGCTGTAGCAGTGTCTCCTGAAGGGGTCTTCCTGTACACCACCCTTGGGGCGTTTCTCTCGTAGACTCTCTGCTCTGTGGGCTCCACCCTCGGTGCCTGACAGCTCTTGCACCTAGATCTACCTCTATGCCACTTCTTCCCTGCACCCCGACCTTCCCCTCTGAGATTCACAGACCCAGATCCATCAGCCTTTGTACTATCAATACAAAGTCATCCCTTCCATAGAATCCACTATCCTTGAAGTATTTTCTCCTCCTGCACCAAGGAGCTAGAACAGGCCTGACGCAGAATTGTGTGCAGCTGAGTAAGCTGTGCTGATGGGAGTGAGAGGGCAAGGGGGTTCAGGAGTGTTCTGTCTCCAAGGAAGGAGGAGGCTTGCAGTTCCAGAGACTGCCAGGGATCTTTGAAGCTTTATGAGCAAGAGATGTGGAAAATAAATAAGGCAGAGATAGAAATCAGGTTTTGTTAGCTCAGCCTCCTTTAGTCTACTGCAACCTGTTTTGGCTCATTCTTCCTACCAGTGATGTAGTAGAATTTGATTTCTTCCACTCAGGAAGATTCTTTTCTCTTTATTTCTTGTTCTTCTGCAGGAAGCTGGAAGAAAATATTAGTCCTTTGAATTTCCTTATCTGTCTTGCTGTGACTACTCAACATTGTTGATGTCACTTTCACCTGTATTTGCAATCTTTTTATGCAAACACATCCTATCCTGCTCCCTATTCCCAAAAGTCGTAATCTGAATTTCATCTCTCAAATGAAACGGGATATGCATTACACATTTTAAAAAGACTATTTAATTTTCTCATTTTTGGCATTTTCAGTCCATGGGAAAAAACTAATCTATGGCACAGTGAGCATCAACCCTCTCTTTTCTAGTAAATCTACCACCAGGCTGCCAGCCCAAATAACTTGGCATTTTTATTGTTTTCTCCTTCACACTCCCTAGGTGTATTGCAGTTTCTAATTTGAGTTTACAATGATAGCCAGACAGCAGGCTACTTCATTTTTTAAGAGAATTTCTCTATGTATATTGACCTTGAAGCTTAGAACCACTATGTGTGTGTGTGTGTGTACGTACACACATACATATAGATCTCAGGGAAATAATTATATAGTTTTATTGGACTTTTTGAATGTATATGTCTCTGTGGTGAAAGACGATTGTTCTGGGAAATGGCTTAAAAACAACAACAAAAAAAATCAAAACGGGGGGCTGGGGGGTGGGGGAAGAAAGGAGGGAAAGAAGGCAGACCGACCACTGATCTGTCTCTCTGTATGACTTAGCCATATCACATGCTTTAAGTGGTTTGCAAGTTAAAGGACTCATTTTCAGTTGTTCAAATTTGCAGTCAGGAAGGATTTTTACAGGTCCTTGGCCTTGTGATCTTTAAGCTGTAACCCCTAATCCTGGCTAAATCCTTGCCTTGCAGCTGCCGGAA